GTTTTGATACTACACTACTGGTTACATAAGATGTAATCACTGGAGAAAACTGAGTGAAGGGCATAAAGGATCTCTCTATTCAGTTTTTAAAACATCCTATGAATCTATAATTATTTCAAAGTAAAGTTTTAAAAAATTACCCTGACTTTGATGTTTGATATGTTTGGTAGTCACTAATGTTGTGATCCACATATTTCCTTCCCTCTGTTTTAGGGTACATGCTGGGATTGAGTCTGTTTCCCTGGTCATGTGATTTGATCTGACCATAGAAATACAAGCATGAAAGAGATATTGGGGACGAAGTGTAGAGACTCCATGTAAGCTGTCACCTGCACTGTCTTCTCCACTGAGGAGCTGTGTGTTGCTATTGATTGTCCTTTAACATGGGCTCACAGTGATGTGCAGAGCCCCTACTGACCCTCAAGGGACATGGAGTGTGAGATAGAAAACAACTTGCATAGTTTTTTTGTTTTGTTTTGTTTTGGGTGGGGGGAGTGGGGCACTAGGGATTGAACTCAGGGACACTCAACCACTGAGCCACATCCCCAGCTCTATTTTGTATTTTATTGAGAGACAGGGTCTCATGAGCTGCTTAGTGCCTCGCTTTTGCTCTGGCTGGCTTTGAGCTCACAAATCCTCCTGCCTCAGCCTTCTGAGCTGCTGGGATTACAGGTATGTGCTGCCATGCCCAGCAGAATTTACACAGTTTTAAGGCACCAGGATTTGGGACTTTTATATATAGCCATCTAGTACAGTACAACTGTTAATGTTAGTCATAATTACCTGATCTGATCATCAGATCCAAGGCTTTGGTGGGGTCCTGACTGTGATTTCACCTTCTTCTGCCCAGGACTGCTGACTCACCACCTGACCTTATACATGATCACCACCCAAAGGATGAACAGCTTCCTGTCTTAACCCAATTCACACCCTTTGATTCCTGGGCCTCAGAGCAGTGCAGCTGTCTTGACAGTAATGATGTGCCATGGGCAGGGGAGCTATGATAGAATGAAGGGCACCCACATTCATTCCTCAGGCTGTAGCCACAAGGCAGGGCTGCCTGTATGGGCTCATCTTTGCCTGTTCCTCTTTCATTCATCACCCTCTTTGCTCTTCCCTACCCTTTGAGTACTTGACACAACATTCTGTATAACCAACCTCTTCTGCCTTTCCCTCTCCTCTCACCACAGGTCAATCACTCACAGGCAGTTTATTTTGCTTCAGGCCATCTCCCACATCTTCCCACAAAAACCAATCTATCCTAGAAACCATTCATTTGCTTTCTAGCTAGCTGGGAACAAACTTGGCTTTATTCACAAGTCAAAAGAATATCAGCATCATTCAAATAACAACTATTTAAATGAAGGCATTCTAGAAAGGAGGCACTGAGTTACTGATTCCTTCAAAGGAGCAGCAGCCTCTGGTGTGCTTCCTGGGATGGGGAGCTGTGATGAGGAAATGCAGGGCAGATAGACTACTTCATATGGGATATTCAATTTCAATGTGTCTGCATTAATCAATCTTCTAGGCACCAGATGGTAAAATCATAGAAGTCAAAAAAATCCTTTTAAAATACATACAATTATGTTAAAAATTCTGAATTATATTATTATCTAGCCCAAAGGCAGTTCTCCCCTTGAGGCACACATCTGCATGCTTGGAGGAAACCAGACTCCTGGGGATCTGAGAGTAAGGGAAATGAGAATAACACTGGAAAGATTATGTCAGTGTCCTTACTTTGGATTCTCTAATCTGTGCCCTTTTTTCCACTCTTTGTTGGAGAGCTTGACCCTATTGGGAGATACCGTAATGATGGCCTTACACTAAGAAGGGCTTTAGCCTAAGTAACTCCATCTTAAAATAAAACTGCAATCCCCACCAGGCAAGCCTATGGAGCCCTCCAATATTGTCATCTCCACAACCCTGATAAAAACTCAGAGTGAAGTAACTGTCATTTGCCTTTGCCCTGATAAAGTCAGAGGTGAGAGATCAGGGCGGAAACCACCAGACAAGATGTCCTGACCCTAGAATGAAAGACATCACTGAGAAATCTGGTAATGGCTGGTAGGGATTGAAAGGGTGAGCAGAAGCCCCCAAATTTAACATAAATGATGGAGCAAATGAATATCCAGCCAGCCAACACTGAAGCCCACATGCCAGAGAGCCTGATGAGGACCTGGACTGACACCCCAACTCTTCTTTGAGTACTTGACACAAGTCTGATCATCTGTCTGATCCTCTGCATCATTCTCATTGCTCTCAAACTCTACAGCCACATCTTGACCCTGGTGAGAACTGCAACTTCCCCTTAGGACCCTCTCCTCAACATTATTAAGCTCTACCTGAGGAGAAGCCTTCATAGGTTCCTGATCTGATCACTGTGGTCTGAGTGAGTGTGCATCTGCTGGACTTAATGCCTAAGACTTTAGACTCTAGATTTGGCACTTGAGCTTAGCATGCAGAGGGAATGTATGTAATGAGTCTGTCATGATTAAGTGTGTTACCAGTACTTAGAATTAACTTAGAATTGTTTACTTTGAATTAATTATGTATATTGCAGTGCCTGACATTAAGGATTGTCATTTTCTCGATTAAGAACCTATAGAGTGGAATTGTATTGAGTGATTTGAGTGAATAAAGCTTTGAAAAAGGCAGAAGCACGTGGACATTCTTTATTTCTCCCCCTTGACTGCATAAGTCACAACTTTGCCCATCACCACAGATACCCAGTTCCTTCTTGCTTTCAAACATGTTTATCCTTTTCTACCTCATTTCCTATTCTTATAGTGGATTAAGTGAAGAAACAGTTTTGAATGAATAGGAATAGGTAGAATGTGGACCTTGGAGGTTAAATGTGTTTGGCTATACAACCAGTTGCAAAAAAGTACATTTCATTACATTGTACAATGCAAATTACAGCCAATTTTCTATTTGCCTTTTTACATTTTTAATTGTAAAGGATTTTTGAAACCAAACCAAAAAGATACTATTACTTAAGGGAACACAGACATCTTTTTTAAAAAATTGTTATTTGAAGTAATTTTACATAATCACAACATTCACTTGTTTCCGTTTTTGGTAAATTTACAGAGTTGCACAACCATTACCACAACCCATTTATTTATTTAAGTACTGGGGACTGAATCCAGGAATTGTCTATTATTGAGCTTCATCCCTAGCCCTTTTTATTACTTGGAGATAGGGTCTTGCTAAGTTGCCCAGGCGGGCCTTAATTTTCTATAATCTAATTTTAGAACATGTCTATCACTGCAAAACTATCTCTTGTACTCTTTGCAGTCATTCCTTATTTCTGCCCTCAGCCCTAGGTGATCACCAATCAACTAACTGTACGGATTTACTTTTTCTAGACATTTCAAATAAATAGAATCATGTTATATGTGTTATTGCAAAATGACTTCTTCCACTTAGTATCTTGAGTTTCCTCTATATTGTATCTTTTATAAGTACTTTGTTCCTTTTATCAAATAAGTCCACGTATGGATACAGCACATTTAGTTTATCTATTCAGGAGTTTTTGGACTTTTGGATTGTTTTCACTTTTTGATTATTACAAACAATGTTGTTATAAATATTTAAGCATACATAATTTGAACATATTTTCATTTCTCTTGAGTATGTATCTAGGAGTGATGTTGTTGGGTCATATGTTAGTTTTATGTGTAAGTTTTTTTTTTTTAAAGAGAGAGAGAGAGAGAGAGAATTATTTATTTTAGTTTTCGGCGGGCACAACATCTTTGTTTGTATGTGGAGCTGAGGATCGAACCCGTGGCCGCACGCATGCCAGGTGTGCGGGCTACCACTTGAGCCACATCCCCAGCCCCGTGTGTAACTTTTTAAGAACCTGAAAAACTGTATTCCAAAGTGGTGCATTGTTTTATATTTTCTTAAGTAATGGATATGAAGGTCCTGATTTCTCTACTTCCTGGCATTTTTTTTTTGCTTATTAATTTTAGCCATTTTGATAGGGGTGAAGAGCTTTCCCGTTGAGGTTTTAATTTGCATTTCCCTAAGTGGCTAATAATGTTGAATACTAATAGTTGATCATTTAAATATTTGGTAAAATGTCTGTTCTTTCGTCCACTTTTAATTGGATTATTAGCCTTATTAAGTTGTTGTAAGATTTCTTTGTATATTTTTGCATACAAATCCTTTATCAGATGTGATTTGTGAATATTTGCTCACAAAATATGGACACAGTATTTTAAAAAGACTGCATCTTTATTTCAAAGTGATGTTTCCTCTTGTGGAACATTAAAGGGCTAATCACTGACTTTCTTCCAAAATATTATATAAGTATTTTAAAAATAGTATGTTTTAAATTTTTATTTTTGAAAACAGTATTTGGGAGATGTAGATAATCGCAAATGCAGGATAGTAAACTTTTTTTTTTGGTAAAATTTTTTTGCTTGCAACATTTTGGTTATGTCAACACACACACACACACCCCTGAATATTTTTTTGTGATACTGGGACTCAAACCCAGGGTCTTGCACGTGGTAGGCACGTGCTCTACTACTGGGCTACGCCCCCAACCTATATAACAATATGTATTTAAAAGTTTAAGATGGGGCTATTTCAGTGGTGCAGTCTCTTTATCATTCCGGCTCTTGGTTGGCAAGCAGTAAGACACAAACCTCTGGATGACTTAAGGAGAAATTTTACTTGGTAAAAAGACGGTTGGTTATCCTAGTGTGATAGAGGATCAGGGCTGGGTCTAGTGGTCTTCAGGGTAGGGAGCGGCTGGGTATTGAGAAGGAGTACTAAGCAGTGCTTCCCAAGGGGGCGTAGTGGAAAGACACTTGTAGGATACTGCGCAGGAGACAGGCCCCTAAACGGTCCCAATTGTGCACCCCTCACCCCCCAGGCATTCTTTTGGTCCCTCGGGGCCGGGCTGCCTCTTCCGGCCGTGCGGGTCGGTGGCCTCTCCTCTCACTGCCCGCCCCGGTCCTGGACCACGGCAGCCCAGTCGCCCGGTTCCGCCGGGTCTGACGAGGCACCACCGACAGTTCTCCGGCTTCAGACCTCCCCGGACACTACAGGTGGCTCCGCCCGAGTCAGGGGTGGCCTGCGGCACGGCACGGCCCTGGGTCGATCCGAGGGCCTCCTCCGCGCGGTGAGGGCACCTCCATTTTCTCCCGCCCGTGACGGGCTCGACGTGAAGTGGCCTGGGTTTATTTTACTCGCTGCCGCAGCCTCTTTGTCCCTACACAGGATCGGGGGGCAAAATCCCTCGGCCCAGACAGCACCACTGAACCCATCGCAGGGGAAGCTTCCCTCCCGGTGACCCGGACGCCGGCGCCGCGGTCCCGCACCTCCCGGCGGGTCGAGCAAGAAAAGGCGGCCAAGTTGAGAGGCCGGAACCTCCTGGCCCCGGAGAGAAGCGCGACCACCGCGAGGTGGGCTCGGTGTACAGGAGGGGGCCGGCGCATCCGGGTGAGCGCGCGGCGCCCCCGCCTCCCCCGCGCAGCCGCAAGGGCCGCCGCCGCCGCCGCCGCGGAGCACGCCGCGCGCTGTGGAGACCGCGCCCGAGCGGCCTCGGGCGGCCCTGCGGCCCCGCCCGGCGGCGCTGAGGGGGCCCAGAGCGAGCGGCTGCGGCCGCGGCTTGCAGGGCGGCCCCGACTAGCCCGCCGAGCCCAGGAGGCCTGCCGCGGAGGCGGGGGCGGGCGCGGCGGAGGCGGGGCTCGCGCCAGGCCCGCCCGCCCGCCGGGGGAGCCGGCGGCAGTGGCCGAGGAGGCTGCGCGGCGGACGGCGGCCCCTGAGTAGCGCCCGCGCTGCGGCCCGCGGGACCGCGCCGCGACCCCCCGGGCCGGCCCCGAGGAGCGCCCGCCGCCGCCGCCGCCGCGCGCAGAGCGAGGTGAGTGTCTGCTCGCGCCCGGGCAGCCCTGGAGCCGCAGCCGCTAGCGCGGGGCCAGAGGAGGAGGAGGAGGAGGAGGCCCGTCCGCGTCCCCCTGTCCCTTTGTGGCCGGTGCTACCGAGGGCCGGGGCGCGGGTGCGCTCGCTGCGGGGTCCTGGTCGGGGACTCCAGGGCCGCGGGACACGCGGCGTCTCTGGTTGGCAGCTGCGGCGAGCAGCGAGTTTCCGTCCTAGTTTGACATTGAGTTAGAACCGTTTTTCTTTAGAAGACGGAAGTTTGTTTTATTGACAAGAATATAGCTAAATATGGCTTCTGGGTTCGGTTGTGGGGTATTTGGAGCCGTGGTACCAGCCTGACCCTCGCCGGGGCCGGCGCGACGGGGGAGGGGAAGACGCGCCGGTAACTGGAGGCGGGGGCTTCCCGGCCGGCTGTGGGCCGAGAGGACCTGGCTCCGAATGAGCAAATGTTTGTGCTTGGGAAGTAGCTGGCTTTAGGTAATGTGGGAGCCCTTCCTGGAAGAATGAATGAATGAAATGTCATTTACTCACCCATAATCAATACAATGCCTGTTTAATAAAGATTTGCCAGGAATTGTGATGATTTGCATTGTCATTGCCAATCTTACATCAATCTTACTAAGCGACCCCTGCCACCCATTTTATGACCTTGGCCTCTTTCTCAAAGCCACTGTTAGTCCATCAACCAAACTCCCTTGGCATTTTCTGGCAAGTGTGGGTAAAGTGGTCTTTTTGTGATCGTGAACTGTTTACGGAGGGCAGAAAATGTTCACCTTTATCATACCTTATGTTTAACACATTACTTTGTGGTGATTCTTGTCAAGAACCTTGAGACTTAGGAGATCTTGACCTCATTTCACAGATGAAAAAGTTGAGGCCTCAAGAAGTTAAACTTTCCAGGTCACAGGCTAATCGGCAGAGTTGGGATTGAAACCCAGACTTTTATTAGTTCAGTGCTCTTTGTGTCACATTCGTGACGTAGACCTAGACTTTCCAGTATGATAGTCTTAATTTAAATAACCACATGTGACTTGTGGTTATTTAAGTTAAAATTAAAGAAAAATTTAGCTCTTTAGTCATTAGCCATATTTCAAGTGTTTAATAGCCAAATGGGTAAGTGGCTAAGTTGAACAGCAGTCTAGATCATACATCCATTTATGTATTCAGTAAATATTTGAGTGCCAGCTGCCTAGTTTTAAATCTTGAATATACTGGGCACAGTTTTAAGTCCTGGGAATACTGTGGCAAATGAGAGACAAAATGTTTTTGCGTTTTTGGAGTTTGTGTTTTGCATGATAGTTTGAGGATGTTAAAACCGTGGTACTTCAGAGCCTTTTTATTGCAAGTGTGGTTCATGGACCAGCAACATTATAGTCACATGAGAGTCTAGAAGAAATGCAGAATCTCAGGCCCCAGATTCCATCAACTGAATTAATTTCTGCTTTAATAAGATTCTAGGTTATTTATGTGTAGTTTGAATCTTAAGAAGCCTTATTTAGAATACTAGGGATTACTGGGTTTAATGAATGGCTGTAACAAATTTGGGGAGTACTCACCATTTATGCAAATACTTGTTAAATGCTTGATTTTTCTCAGTGTTGTTTAAATTTTTTCCCCTCCCTTATCTAGCCCTGTATCTTTAGAGACTTTATAGTGTCTGATAAATAGTAGGCACTCAGTAAATGTTTGCTGAGTAAGTGAACAAGCTACTAGGATAGTTAAAACTGGTTGTTAGTCCCAAGTACTCACATTGCATCAGGTGAGCTCAGGGGACCTCAGTTGAAATGAGCTGGATTTTGCTCCTGGTATATAATCTAGCTCTCTCTTTAATAACATAATATTAATAAATTCAAATTTTAATCATATATTAATGTCTTATATAGGATTTAAAAAAAAACTGAATTCTGGACTTTATTTGGATTTCACCAGTTTTTCTACTAATATCTTCCTTTTGTTCCATGGTGCAGTCCAGGGTACTACATTGTATTTAAGTGTCATGCCTCTTTGGTCTGTAGCATTTCTTTTTTCTTTTTTTAAGCTTTCCTTGTTTTTCATAACTTTGGTGGCCTGGAGGAGTACTGTTCTGGCTTTCTATTTCATTTTATGAGACAGGATCTTGTTGTGTTATAAAAGCTAGTCTCAATTCTTGTGCATAAGTGATCCTCCTGTGTATCCCTGTCCTCTGGGACTGCAGGCATTCTCCACCACATCAGTGTCTTTTCTTTGGCTTCCTGAGACCAGGTAGAATCATCCAGTCTGAGAGGTTTTCATACTTTGGCAAGTATAGCCACAACAGGGACAATCCTTTTTCAGCTCTTAATTTGTTTGTGTAGTGCGTATTCTTATTTTCAAGTAACAACATAACAACATTTGTACTTTGTTTTCAGTAACAAATTTCTTGGATACAGTTCCTCATTGATTGAGACTGGGAAATGTTGCAACATTGCAGTTGTGTACCACTGTTTTAATATATATACTGAGTTTTATTTTTATGATGAGTTAAGATAAGGACAGGTGAAAGAGCGGGAAGAGGGGAAATATCAGGTGAAAGAGGCAATAATTGGTCAATGAAGGACAAATGCAAAAGAATGAAAGAAAATAGAGGAAGAAGTAAGGTAGCTACATAGATAAAAGAACCAGAAGCAAATAATTACTGTTTGTTCATTAATTCAGTTACTATTTATTGAGTGATTAATGTATGCCTGACCTATGCTAGAGGCTCAAGATAACTGGGGGGCAAGCCAGCAGCTTTAAACAAGTAAACATGCAGATGAATTCATTATCTAATAATTACAGCTTGTGATGAGTGCTATAAAGTAAAGGATTTTAGAGGGGCTGGATGGTGTGAAAGAGAGGGTAAGGGAGCTACTGCTTCGTTGACTGGGTTCATGAGGAAGGCTTCTCTGAGTGACATTTGAACTCCTGTCTCTGGTTTTTAGGGGCCCTCCCTAATTAACCCCAAACTGCTAATCCTTCGGTTTATTTCACAACACACACATCACTTTCTCCATAGGCACTGTATTTATTTCTACCTCTGTGACTTCAGTGATTTCTTCTCTTTCCAAGATGTTCCCCTTTCCACCTCCACTTGGAGAAGTGCTACCTCTTGTGCAAATGTTTGATCACATCCTATCTCCTTTATGAAGACTGTCACTGTTGATTTATGCCTGTGTTTGTCACTCTGTTTGAGTGTGTGATGTTCAGTGGTAGGGATAATACTTTGCATTTATATCTATGTGTCTTCACTTAGTCCAGCACAAAGTAGAACTAATAAGGGGTTGAAATGGAGATCTGAAGTGTTCACATTTGGGTGATGACCCTTAGAATAGTAAGTGAAAGTCTAGTTTTGTTTTAATAAAACATTTTGTTATGAGATAATTATAGATCCACATGCAGTTATGAGGAATAATCAGAAAGATTCTAAGTACCCTTTACCTAGTTATTTCCCGTGGTATATCTTGTAAAACTATAGCACCCATGATATCAGACCGATAATAGTGTCAGTAATATAGTCAAGATACAAAATATTTCCATCTTCACAAGATTTCCTTTTCTTGCTTATTAAAATGGCTATGCCTCTCTCCCTCACCTCTACCCCACTCTTAAGTCCTAGAATCAGTAATCTGTCCTCCATTTTTGCAATTCTGTCATTTCAATAATATTTTATAAATGGAATCATATAGTACAGAGATTAACCCAGGTTGTTACATATGCTGATATTTGCTTCTTTTTTTATTGCTTAGTAGTATTTCATAGTGTGGATGTACTTTTATGGTTGTTTTAACCATCTACCTTTTGGACATCAGTTTGTTTCCAGTTTTTGGCTAACACAAGTAAAGCTGCTATAAGCATTTAAGTACAGACTTTTGTGTAAACATAAGTCTTCTGGGACAAAGTGATAGAGTGCAGTTATTGGGTTGTGTGATAACTGAATGTCTATCTTTTTGTAGAACCTGTCAAATTGTTTTCGAGTGACTGAAACATTTTATATTCCTATTAGTCATGTATGAATGATCAGTTTCTCTGTATCCTTTCCACATTTGGTGTTGTCACTATTTTTTAATTTTAGCTGTTCTGTTAGGTACAGAGTAATAATCTCTCTGTGATTTTAAGGTGTTTTTTCTAAATGCTAATGATGTTGAGTTAGTTTGTTTTTAGTAACATTGGATATTGAATCCAGGGCCCAGCACATGCTAGACACACTCTTCCACTGAGTACACATCCAGCCCTTGATAGTCTTTTCATATGCTTATTTGCCATTTTATTTATTTTTTTTATGTGCTTATTTGTCATACTTCAGGGAAATGACTTTTGCTCATTTTTTAATTGGAATACACACACACACACATATATATCTACTGTTGAGTTGTAAGAGTTCTTTATGTATTCTAGAAACTAGTCCTTTGTTAGAAATGTAATTTGTCTATAGATGTCTTTTTATTCCCTTAAGAAGGTATCTGCAGAGATCAAGTACAGTTTCTCAATTTATTCTTTTGTGGATCATGCCTTTGGTGTCAAATCCAGG